AATGTTTGTGATAGGAATTGCACAAAAAGGATTCGCTTCTGGGTATTTTAGTTTTCCAAACAGTGTGGGCAAACGAAAGAAATGCATTTGCCAAGCAAATACAAGGCAGCAATGCAAATGCAGCAACAGCAGCTTCCTGACTGCCACTTGCCCCCGGACTAACGACTTTGCCCCTTCTGACACTGCGGCAATGCCAATGGCAATGGCAATGGCAGCCGCAAAATATTTGCGCTAATTGAGATAAAATACAATTTAATGGGTGTGCAAATGTGGAAGCAGAAGTGTGTGGGTAGCTTCCCTGCCTCAAGGGGCACTTTTCTAAAAGTGGAATATTAGTTGAGCTAATTAATCCCGCCTAAAAAGGATAACCACAATGGGGAATCTTTTAGTATCAGGTTACTGGTATATAATATATTAGAAGCTGCACATTTTTGCGGCTATTAGGAAGATATTTAAATTTTGAAACAATTTACCTTTAATAATCAAGCCGCAACAAACACATTATGCTGCAAGTATATCGCTTGCAATGGACACAAATACCATCCTAACAATGCACAGACAACACATTGTTCCTCAGACCCAGATAATTAAGCTGAAATGTCGATGGCTGCATTATAGAGCCAGGAACTTAATATATTTTGCTATCACTTGCCAATTGAGCATCCCGCTCCCGTTGCCCAATCTCTTGGCCACATTAACCAAACCTCATCGCTCAATGTGTCAATTTCGGATGCAGGACACTGGGAATATGAGGGGGAATTCGCAGATGTTGATGTAGCCACTGCAACCAGCTGTGGCAAAACAAAAGGCAACATCAGACACAGTTTGCCAATGACAAGCAAGCCGAAGACAACACAGCACAACTCAACACAACACAACGGAAAATTGACTGCATTTTCCCCACTTTTGTTTGCACAACTTTCAATATGCATTTTCTGAGCTGCTGATGTAAAAATTCAAAAAACAAAAAAAAAAAAGAAAGAAAACGAATCCAGAGCAGAGCAGAGAAAGACAACAATAAACAGAGAGTTGAGCAACAATGAAGCTGTTCGGTTGTCGTGCTTCATATCTCAGCCAAACTGTGGCAAACATAACGAATGCCCCTCGATTCCCGGCTTCACTTAACCGCAATGCTAAAAACTGACAAAACGAATGGCAAAACCAATTGCTGCGAATTGCGGTCAACAGTTTTGATTGTTTTTGCGGCCAAGCCAAGGGTGCTCAGCCTATAACAACCATCCCCTGCTAACTGACGTCTTTCGCTGGCTTCCGATAGATAAACACTGGCAGCGAAATACTCAGATTCGGGCAGCTGGTGCTCGACATTCGACATTCGACACTCGGCATTTGGCATTTGGCAGCCCAGGAGCCAAGTGAAACATTCGGTGGAGACTCACCAGTTTTGCGTTATGCACTTACAATCAATTTGTGGCCATAAATTCAACTGCCACGCCCAGCCAAAAAGAAAAAAAGGAGAAAGGGACCTCCGCCCCCCAGTTTTGACGCATCTTGTGCACGTCTGTGCGAGGGAAATAAAAAAATAAATCCAGGACGAGTCGAACCCAAAAAATAGCAAACATAATGGCGACGCTTTACAACCCTTTGCTGCAACAAATAAAAATTTATGACTCTGCCCGGAGTGAAGCCAAAGTAATGCGTATGCTTATGTGTGTGTAAGAAATGGTGCGAAATAAAATATTGGCTAATAATCGCATGATAATGCCCAAGGATTTGGACGTCAGCCTGCGGCAGAAGTTCTCACTCGTGGGACACGCTGCGTATACGCAATCCATTCTCCCCCTTTTTCGGACAGTTAATAATGCTTTGGTTTATTGCAAGTGTGTGGCAGCAGGGCGGCATTAATAATGACAACTCGTTTATGGCCGCATCAAAATGGAGCCCAAAGCCCAGCACTCAAAGTCGCCCTTCGCGCTTTATCCTAATTGCACTGGAGTCCCTGAAGCCTGCGAAAAGCTCGCATGTGTGCATGTGTGCATGTGTGCGTGCGTGTTTGTTGGTATAGGTGTCGGCGAGTCTGTGTGAGTGTTTGCTTGGGCCGGCGGCAAAAGTCTGATAAGCTGGTAGTTCGCAAGAGAGGGGGAAGGGAAGCGGGTGTAAGGAAAACATTGCAGGAGTTGCATTTAAGTGCAGTTCTCACATCCTGCATGTCCTTGGCTTCAAAGGGGGATGTTCGAGTAAGTGCCTATGGTAACTGCAGCCAGTAAGTGGAGTGCCCGTAAAAACTTATCCCAGGCCTTATTAGCTACCAGATAGGGCATGCCCCTCTGAGTAATCATTACTTGAGCGAGCCCGAAGCTTCTGCTCCTTGAACTATTTTCTTTATGCGTCTATTAATTACCTATTTTCAACATCACAAGCCAGTGCCATAAAGTTTCTGGGAATTGTGCTTGCTGCATTTAAAGCGCTTTAAATTGAGTTGTTTATAATTAAATAGGACTTGTATAATCTACTTTCAGAGCCATTTGCGAAGTACTTCCACTCTAGATTCATTCCAGTTCTGACAGGGTAACTTGGCTTCGTTGTGCTGCAATTGTTGTGACACCCTGATTGCCGTTGTTGCATCATCATTGTTGCACCGGCGGCGCTTCGGAGGTGCAACTTTCGCCCAACTAACAACTTTTAACGCTTTTAGCTGTTGATAGTAGTCAGGAAAGTTTTGGGCCAACTGTTATCGCCGCGTGGCCGCCCAGAGCACGTGCAAAGGCCCTAATTATGACACAAGAACCAGTTCCCACTTCGCCAACGCCAACTCCAGCTCCAGCTCCAGCTCCAACTGCAACTCCAGCGTCAACTACAACTATCTATTTGCAGGAAGTGCCCGCCCGCAAACAATTTAGCCCGCAACTTTTCCTTTTGTGTTTTTTGTTTTGTGTTTTTTGGTTTTTGTCAGAAATCGTTTGTTTACGCTTCACTTGCTTCACTTGCCAGCTTCCTCCTCGCCTTCCATGCGTGTTTTCCTTTTCCACCCTTCACTTTTCCTCCGGCTATGCATTTTTCATGGCATTTGTCTGGAGCATTTTCATTCCTGCACGGTCGCTGTTGCTGTTTGGGCACTTTAAAGTCGCTGGGGAAAGGAAAATCGGAGAAGAAAGGACGGCATAGCGAGCACATTTCAAAAACATAAACGCACAAAATGTGTCAACCGCAATATGCTCGCTGTGTAAACAGGGCCGAGACGGCCACATGCGGAAATCACTAAAGGCACTTCCTGCACCAGCAACAAATGCCATAAAAATCATGAAAGCACCTCCCTACATAGCACCTCCACCACTCCCCCAAAACGCTACTACTCACCTACAGCATGCACTCATAGATAAGCCGGCACGATAAACGAGCGTTAGACTGGAACCGAGGTCAATGGGTCGTTCCCGTCGGTCCCGCCGGTCCCGTCGGTGCCGTACGTCGATGTCCTGCGAGCCAGGGATGATCTCGTGATACTGGTGACACCGAACTATATGATTTAAATGATATCATGGGATAGCTTCAGTAAGCAGGTATGTGGAATTTAAATATAATAAAGAAATTAAATTCAGTTTACGAGTGGCAGTATAGCATGACTACAATGCCCCTTAAACTATCAGCTCAAAAACATATATTTCGTGCCCGGTTCTTCCCAGCGACTAGGTCCTTGTGCACCTCTGTGTGCGCTCCTTTTTCCCTCACAAATGTCACCCATAGTTGTCATAATACGAGCACAAACATATGAGAAGGCATCAAATGCCGCAACACTTTGGATCAGAGCCGGGCATTCCGCATGCCGCAAACAAACCCGACATAAACACACACACACATAAGCATGCGAGGCCAGGACTCAAGATTCCCCATTTCAATGCGCACATGTGTGTGTCACTTCAATGGGAGCACGCACACATACGCGCACATCCACGAACGGCATAGCATCTTCTCTCATTCCGGGCTCAGCCATGCAAAATATGCCAGCATTATAAAACTTTAATCTACTCTAAAGAACTTGTTTATGCCTGATTCGGATATCGACAGCCATGGAAAACTGAACGAGGGGACTGGTGAGTGGAAGCCGGGATATGGAACAGGACTCAAAAGGATATGGAGCAGGCTCGCTTTTTGTGACATCTAACGCACTTTGCATAGCATACATTTCAGATGCCCGGCACGAATAGTTGGAAGTCGCAAGTGCGATAAGAAATATTAACTGATTCGGTTGGCTGGCCCGCAAAGCCTGTAAATCCGGAACCAACTCCTCATATTTGGGATTTTTATTTACCGTACAGTATTTGGGATTATGTTATAATTAAATAGGTGAAACCACTCGTCGAACATCGAACGCAAAATTTCCGCCCATTTGACTTTATTCACAAGCTGCCCAACGGTTAGTTTTGCCTGTTTTAAAATATCATGGGCTCCCAGACTTAAATCCACAGCGGCTTGCCACTTACCACTTACCACATGGAATCGCACTGCTCAAACAACACACTCTAAGCTCTGATTTTCCATGCTCGATAAAGTGCGCTAGTGTCAGAGTGTGTGGATATCTGTGGATTTGCACGCCAAACTGGTGATCGGTGCTGTATTTGCTTTTGTATATTTTCATTTCAGCCGAAGCTGTGTGCGAATAGCCATGGACTACATGGAGTACATGGAGTACACGGAGTAACATTGCCGACAGTCGGACGAGGATGAAAATGTGCAGTGGAAGTGTGTCCAAGCAAAGTAAGCGTGTTCTACTGCTGCGAAACACATCTAATGCCGTGCACAAAAGAAATACTGTGGGCCAAGCTATTCGTGAAAACACAACACATTTGAGTGCAAAGCAGGAAGGCTGAATATAGGGCTAAAGCCTTGTTTTGGTCACTGCTTTGTTGAAGGATTTGATGTTGAATTATTTTCATCGTGTTTTAGGAAGAAACATTGTTTGGCTCTAACAATTACAGGTTACATTCACAAAATCATGAAGCATTAGCTCGAAACTGACACTAAGTACCCACAAATTATTAGACACATCTTGATTTTATTTTAGCAACATATTTGTAACTGCATTGTAAGCAAGGTGGCTTTAAAAATCTTACACTAAACTTAATAATAACTCCAAACATTGGTGAGAAGCGTAAATACATCCATTCGTAAGATATACATATATAATACAATGTTATAAAATATACAAGTAATTGCTTGGAGTACAGAAGAAATAAATACTTCGAATTTCTGTATCATTTTATTTGGCACAAAGGACTTCTCTACAGCTAAGGAATTTTCCGAGTTTTTGGTTTTTAAGTTGCCAGCCGTATGGGGTTAGGTTAAGGATTTTTTGCGAAAATATTTACAAGAATGCAAAATGTCAAGCTTGCATTTGCATCAACTGAAAGATAAAATAAATCTGGCTGCCGAGTGAAACAGTGCTTTAAGAGCATTTTTGTTATAAGCACACAAGAATGCCAAAAGTTGCCTTGGCAGCAGATGAAAAGAAGAATAACTAAACAAAAATTGTATTCCTATTTATTTGGCATCTCGCTCCGCCTCTCCGTTTGTTTAGTTTGCCTGAGTGGAAATATAAAAATTACTTCGTTTACATCCAGCAGCAAGGATACGGCAAGGATAAGCGACTGGGGAGCGAGTCCAAACGGGTCACGCAACATTCTAGACAAAGTAATAACACTTGACGCACGTCTGAGTTTCCGGCTTGTGTCCGGCCGGAGAACGTGTCCACACAGAGAGAAAGCAGTGGTTACTTTTGATTCGTCTGAAGTAGCATTAAACAATTTATCACAAAGCCTTGCAGTTTCATCGGAAAAAAGTCAAAGCTTGTACTAATTTTAGCCGGTTCGCTTGATTAAGATATAGAAGCTAATATCAACATATCAATTATCAGTAACATGACATTCAACTTGGTTCTCCATTTATCTCTGTGCAGCTCCACAAGATTTGGGAACACCCCATCTCTGCTCAGGTGGTGAAAACTAGACGAAACTCTCCTGACGTGTCAAATTGAATTTGAGCAGCGGCGACGAGGACGATTTGGCCTTGGTTTTGCTGCCGGAGCTGGACATGCCACTGGAATTGGTCTGGGTTTGTGCCTCGGGCGTCTGATTGCCACTGGAGAAGGATCCGCCTGGCACTGGAGTGGCCACCAGCAGCTGCTGTTCCTGTCCATGGGCGCCGAGCAGTTGTCGCGCCAACTGGGAGATGTCTCCGCCGTAGCTGCTGTCCAGGTGCTGCTGCTGCCGCTGCTGCTGCTGCTGCTGCGGATTGGCGGGCTTGAGGGCCAGGGATTGACGCAGCAGATCCGGCAGATGCCACTGCTCCAGGAGCTCCGCTCCGAGGGTCGGCGAATCGCTGGCCAGCCGGGTCAGAGTGTGCAGAATGGTCTTGATGGTGTGGCGCTGGGCATCGCTCTCCGCACGTGAGCCGTAGGTTTGGTAGAATTCCGTTTGGTACACGGACGTGATGAAATTTATGATGACGCCGTTGGCCAAGTGGCTGTGGCACTTCTTGTTCAGCGACATGTTGTGCAGCATCCCAACGATCTGCTCCTGTGCGGATGAAATGAAACAGAGGGCGAAAATGTTGATGAGCAAAAAATAAGCAACGCAAAGTGGTCTCTGTGTATGTACGTTTATTTCTATATGTACATTGCGGAATGAAAAATCGTGGCCAAGATTGCAAAAAAATTGCTTTGCAAATGCACAAATAAATTTTACGAGCCACGGCCCGAAGAAGCTTTCAATAAAATTGGCCAAAAAATCTACAGGAAATCGATCCGGGGTGAAACAACCCAAGGTCAGGTTCGCTTCTGAGCCAAAAACAATATATATAGTTCGGATGTTTGGCAACCCGATACGCTGGGTGTTTCAATAAAGCAATGCTTGATTAGCAGTTAAATTGTTAGATAGTTACTTTAATGAGTACTAAATGTTCTATTAGCATGTTCTGGAATCTAGAATCTAGATACTTACATAGAGAAAGACGCTTGTGCCGCAGGCCTGCTGTTCCAGGGTGTCGATCAGCCGGAAGATGGCCTCGTTGGACATGATGGAGTAGTGGGAAGTGGCCTCCATCCGGCTCAAGTTGTTGAGCGCAGCGGCGCAGAGGAGCAGCGTTTGGGTGCAGCACTCCGGCTGCAAGAGGGCGGCCAATCCGGCTACCAATCGCTCCGCGCAATCCCTCAGACCCGGAACCCTGTGCTCCGATCCGTGCCAAGCGGCGGTAATCTGGACCAGCAGCGAAACTGCCTCCCTGCGCTCGATGGGTCCTCTCTCGCCGGCAGCTTCCACCTGCAGGATGTCCCTCACAATTTCAATGCCACCACAACTGCCCAGTTGATTAATCGCCTGAGGGGCACAGCACAAAGTGGCCAACGCCCGGAGTGCCAAGGCCCTCACGGAGCTCTGCTTGTGATCCAGCACCACCAGGAGAAGGGTGCGCACTGCCTCGTTTTGGATGAAGGCATCGGATAACGAGGCAAATCCATCATAGTCAATGTTCATCAGGGTAGCAACCATATTTATGTTGGCCCGCAACAGGAGATCACATTGACTCTGCTCAATGCTGATCACCAGCACACGAACCAATCGCTCAAAGATCAGGCGCAGGGTGATCAGGGTGTGCCTCTTCAGGAGCTGCACATCATCCAGCAGGGATTCGAGATTGATGTAGTGCTGTCGCTCCAGAGAGTACCTCGTGTCCTTGCTCACCGTGCGAATTTGCTCCAAGTGCTGCTCATAGCGTCTCCTCTCGATCTTGGCATCGTTGAAGAACACTCCTCGTCGCTCTAGAGTGGCGGTGAAGTCGTCCAGGTGGGACAGCAGCTGGGTGGCTCCGGCAAGGGCTTCCGGCAGAGAACTGGCCTGCAGTCCGCTGAGAACCCGCTCGCTCCGCTCGAAGTGAACTTGGAGCGACAGAGCCTGCTGCTGCAGCTGTCTGACCAACTTGCAAACTGCACTGGTGGTGATGGTGTAGTTCTTGTATGCCTCCTGGGCAATCGATTTGTGCTGCAGGGTGCACATCACCTCCGGCTCGCCGGCCCAACGCTGCTCCGACATCCAGCTGGCCACGGGTTCCGGGTGCTTCTTGCCCCTCTTCGCAATCTTTGAGCCACTTTTGGGTGTGCTGGTGCTAGCTGTGAACCGCAAGGCTCTGACTCTCAGGGGGGAAGGTTGCAGCTGGAGGGTTTCGTCCTGCTCGGTGGCTCCAAAGGTGACTGTTTCATTGTTGTACGGCGGTGGCGCCTCACCCAAGTAAACAGTTTCATTATTGTACGGCGGCGGTGGTGGTGCTATGACCACTTCCTCCTCCTCGCTGGCCGAAGCCTCTTCCGGTTCCGGCATGGCCTTACGCATTAGTCGCCTGCGGCGTCTTATGGACGGACGCGGTGGTGAATCCTCCTCCGCCTCCGCCTCTGCCTCTGCCTCTCCATCGTCCAGTTTCATGCTGTCCAGCTGGTCGAACAAACGACTACGACTAGCCTCCAGCTCCGCTTCCACGGCATCCTCATCCTCCGACCTCGCCTTGGGCGTAATCTGGCCGCTGGTGAAGGAAATTCGACGTGTGACACTGATCAGCGGCGAGTAGAACGACGAGTTGCCCACCCGGCGCACCACCGTCGGGGGCGTGGCCACCGAATGTACGGATGTGGGCGTGGCCGCGGGCGTTTGCTGCTTGTCGGCTTGGGGCGATGGCGGGGATAGGTGCTGTTGATGCTGCAACTGATGCGATTCCTCATTATCCGAGAAGCCCGAGTCCTGCAAATCACCCGGAGAAAGACATGACCATTAGCGCACAGAACTCGAACTGGTTAAAGGTGTTAATTAATATCAGTAGACACTAAACCATATCTCATTACGAATTTGTATTCAGCAAATATAATTAGATTTTCATTTGATGCATACACTCTGATGATATCTATGGGCACTCCACCACTACATTACTTGCTACAATAAAAGGTCCATAATGTAAGACCGACTACTAGCCAAATTGAAATGGCCCAGTGGGCTCAGGGTATCAAATGGCGTACCATCGACATGCTCACCTGACTGCGCAGACTGCCGGGGCTATCGTGCTTGTGCCAGGATAGCTTGGAGCTGTTCTGCTCGTCCTCCACCTCCTGGATGCAGGACAGATTGCCCAGGGGGCCGAGGGATGCGGGCTGTCTTTGTGGGAAGTTGGATGTGCTGGATGTGCTGCTCCCACTGCTGAAGCTCGAGTAGAAGCCGCCGCTGGTCAGGGAGGACTGCTCGGATCCCCACCAGACCTTGCTGTAGCTGCGCTGAAAGGACATGCCTGAAATGGAGAAACGGAGTCGGGCAATCAGTAGTGTCCATCATTTAAATAAATTGAACTCATTCGTTTAACAGGCTTAAATTCATTAAATTTAATGCAATTGCCGCTCTGGGTGGTTCGAATGGAATGGATTCATTGCCAATACACAGATACCCATTCTGACCATTCGTTCGGGTCTTTCAGGGGTCATCGCCCCCTTTTTGGCGGGCGGAAAGGGGCGGGGCACTGCACACACATGCCTGAACATTGGCTTAATATCCGTTACGAAAAAATTAAATTTCCGCCAGGCGATACAAATCATTATTTTAATCAATGAAATTTCCACCCAGCGACCTTGTGAAACCCAGTGTACATTTCTCAGTGTACGTAAAATACAATTTAGCTTTTTGGAACAATTTAAGAAGCCCCAAGTTTTGGGCGGCCATCAAAATGACATTTGGCATATGGCCCAGTATACATTAGTGTGCAATAATTTCTAAATAATTGATGTGAATGCCCCAAATTGTGGGCATTTATGCAGATTTTACAGACCGAATCTGTTGAGTTATAGTACAGGCATTGGCTTACAAAAGGGGCGGAACCACCTGCCCGATGTTGCTGGAAATGCAAATGATTTTTGGCAGCGGGTGGTGGAGGTGGTGGTGGAGGGGGAGGGGTAGGGGGAGGGTTTTTTGGAAATGAACAAAACATTTGGTGTGCGGCATTCGGGGCTCTATTATGCAAATGGAATAAACTAATTATGCTGCTAAACAATTTTCGTGTGACATTGCAAACCGAAGTCGTGTTTTATTTTGTTTAATTTCTCGTGGTTTTTGCACTTTGCAGCTTACATATTTATTATACTTTGTTGTATTCGCCATAATTACATAATATACCATTCAGCAAGGGGAGTGCACTTGTTGGTGGCAACTGTTTGCGTTATGCATGAGTGGGAAAGTTTATTTTTCAGTTATGCATGCCCGCTGAACTCTGACCTCTGAGCTCTGACCCCCCTCACCCCGATGCAGTGCCAGTCGGACCCTCAAATGGCATTTGGTCAACTGGCATGGTGACTCCTTCCACTGCAGAGCAAATATTGACAAAGTGCTTGTTTCAAGTAAACAAATTGAAATAAATAAATGACGAAACACTTTTTACTCCAGCACTTTCGCACACATTAACACACTCACACTTCGGCACTCACATATTTATTGAATTCATTAAGCAATTAATTAAAATTATATTCAATTAGCATAAAAGGCATGGCCATAAAAAAGCCCACAAATATTTGCGGCCTATTTACAGTTGAATGTGCAATTTTTAATGTTTCTAACGCCTTTCATAATATTATCATTTTTTCCATGCCTTTGTATTGAATTACATATTTGAGTCCTGTGCTCATGATTTCTCATATTTAACAATTTACGTTTGTAAAAGTTTATACAAATTGATAAATTCCTTTGAATGTTGAACGCAAGCATTTTGTACATTTCCAACATGCTTGGTAATTATTCTCATTTTACAACAGTCAGCATGGGCACTTCAATTGCATTAATTGTGCCCATAAAGCCCCATCAAGATGCCGAATTAAAGGGTACACAATTTAAAACCACTGTCCATAGGACGCGGGCTAATTAATGGAGAGCTCTGGCATCCTCCATCCCCCGTTTAAATCGCCTGCCCGCGGCTGAGTCCTGGGAAATCCTTTCGAATGGACAATAAATATTGCATTCGATGGCTGAAAGAGGCTTAACAATGCAGCAAGGCGATAAAAATTAACGGCACTTAATAGCAACATTGAAATCATTAAGTGATTTATGTTCAGCCACGGGCAGAGCTCCAGCAAACGTCAGCGCCCGCTGGTCCCCAAGGACTCGCGTCCTTTTGGGCAAAAATGCGAGTGCACATCGATATAAGTATTTATTCTCGTTCCTTTATTTACATGAGCATCTTAGAATACGTAAACGCACTTTATAATACAGCAACATACACAATTAGTAGACAAAAACTGAGTTTTCACACGGTGTCTTCTCCAACCCTTATCCCCATTTCGATTCAGCTATTGGCTCCTCGTGCACAACAATTTCAAAAATTAAAACAAACTTCAGCTAAGGCAACACGCAAACAACACGCAAAGTTTCAACCGAAAAGAAGCGAAATAATAATTATAATTTCGAGTAGGCAAGGTGATACCCTAGCAGTGTACATGTGTGTGAGAGTGGGGGTGTCTGGTTGGCAGTCAATTAGCACGGGCGCCACATAAATTTCAATATCGAATACGTATTCGCTTTTCGGTTTTGTGTTTAATCAAGATAAACGAGCTCGTTTTCAGAATTTCACTTTTTGGGCGTGGTAGTGGCGCTTTCACCTTGCAGACACACATACACATTGGGCTATATACATGTTCCTGCTGCTGCTCAGCATTCCTTTCATATCCCGCCGAATCCCGCTCAGAAAATCAACGCGGCAGATCGTTGAGCACGAGCGTGGACGTGTAGCTGGGCGCCTGGATGTGGGCCGTCTTTGTCGTTGTCAGCATGGTGGTGGTCGTCATGGTGGTCTTGCCGTTGGCATCTGCGTGGACCACATCCTGCGCGCCCTTCGGCGGAGAGTCCACCCCCTCCACGTATCCCACCGTCGTGACCTGAACACTCGTCTTTGTTAGCCGATGGGTGCGCAGCTTGGGCAACCGCGAGCTCAGATCCGTTCCCGTGGACTCGTCGTCGCTGTAGTCGCTGGTCAAGGCGCTTCCTGTTCGCCCGGAACTGTCGTACGAGTATTGAGTGTGATAGGTGCTGCTGGGCTCTCCGCTGCCGCCCCTCGTGCTGCTTCCCTCCCTGAGGGCCACCTCCGTCTCGCCCCGATTGTTATTCGACTGATTGCTGCTCCTCTGCTGCTGGAGCGAGCTAGTGGAAGCCGCGGTTATGTCCTCCTCCGAAATGTCATCAAAGGCTGGCGGCGGTGTCGACATACCCGACAACGTCATGATCGGCTGACGAACTGCACTTGTTGGTGTACTCAATGACGGTAGACGCGATGCAGGCGAGCGCAGTTGCGTCGTCGAGGTCTTGCGCTTGGAGGGGGAATGTTTCAGTGGAAATGTGGGCGTCTTCTTGAACACCTGCTTGCCCATGGCATCCTGGAAGCGCTTGGCGTAAAATGATGGCCGGCAGACGGACACCGTGTCTCCGTTGTACAGAATGCTTTTGAATGTGTGCTCCAGCTTCTTTTCCAAGCGATACGACTGCAAAATGTCAATGATGCCGATGTACAGGATTAATCGTTCATCGTTTTCAGACCGAGCCGGGATGCCGCCGGCGGGTACGTCCTCGTCCTCCTCGAGCGGAACATCCATATCAGCCGTAATAGACTCCAGAGCCGTGGAATGAGCCACTAAACGCTGACGATTCATACTGCGCGTTCGATTCAGTGCCGCTCCAGCCGAAGTTCCCGGTATGGAGGCGTATGAGGCCACCGCTTGGAGCTGGTTCTGATCCGCTTCCGGAGCATCGTCATCCGGATTCAAGGAGGGAGGACCCTGAGCGGCGCTTTCCTTCCGCTGCAGCTTGGCTCGCGCATTTAGGATCCGCTCCTCACGTTTCTCCTTGGCCGCCAGGTCTAGGTTGTGAATTCCTACCAGCAGCGAGTAGTCCATGATCTGAAAACTCTCCAGCACCATGCAGTCCCGCTTGATGGTGCTCATCAGCGCATTGTACTTGTCCGTCTCCAGAAATATGCCATTCGGATGGTGCTCGGCAAAGTCGAGGTCCTTGAACGTGGGACTTGCCTTCTGTCGCTCAGCCTTGGAGGCCTTACGACGGAAGGAAGACCCCTTCAGATCGTACTTGCAGTGCATCTTAATGTCGGAGGGCAACAGGTTGTTCATGGCCACCAACCGCACGTTCTTCGAGTTGTAGTGGAAGCAATACAGTCCGAAGAACTTGGGCAGGAGCGTCCGAGGGTTCTGCGATAGATTCATGTAGTAACCGGGCAGAAGTTTCTGCAGGAACTCGCACTCCTTCTTTTGCACCGTCTTTATTATGAACTCGTCGTCGGTCGTCAGGTAAAATATGGAACCAGAGGCACCAGGATTGGAAAGCTCCCTAAGGGGAGACGCACACATGGACATGAGGAAGTCATCTGGAGCGATTCCGAACAGATCCCGGAAGTAGCGAAAGGCTATGGGTGCGTAGACCTTGAATCGGAAGTCGTTGTAGTGATGGGCAGGTGTTATGGAGGAACCATCTGGCGGAAACGCAATCGTTTCCATTTCCCAGAAGTCGTTCATTAGCAGATCACGCTTGGGCTTACTGGCCAGGCTGCCCACCGTATGCTGAATGCCCAGCTGAATGGAGCCCATGATTTGCTTGGACTGGATCTTCTTGTAGGTCACCTCACCGCCCTCCGCCACTCTCCGGTGGCCCAGTTTCTTCTCGTGCTTCCCGCCCGTGGTGGAGGGATTCCGGGAAATACTGGCATCCAGCGTGGAGCTGGCGCTTCTGAGCTTCGAGGCCGGCGTTTGGTTGGCGGCTATGCTGTTCAGCTCCTGCTGCAGCAGGGATGTGGTCTCCTGACCTCCGTGCGCCATGGCGGCCTCCCTGAAGAGCTGCCGAGAAGTTCCCGGCTGCAGGCTCATGGGTGGTGGGGTAACGGGCTCGGAACTTGCGGTCTGAGCCGGGGGAATCTTGGCCGGCGTGAGCAGGCTCTTCTGCTCCAGCTCCAGCTGGTTTTCCAGCGGTTCCTTCTCATCCTCCGGCTGCTCCTTTGGCCGATCCTGGTTGCCAACCGGCGCCAGTTCGAGTTCCACGCGGGTGTCCATTTCCCTCTGGGGATTTCCGCTCTCTGCGGAGGAGAAAACCACTTATTGCAGTGCCGCTCAAACAGTACAAAAGGCATTCAATTGCAGCTCGATTAATGGGCGAGTGTGTGTATGTGTGTGGGCGTGTGTGTGGGGTGTGTGAGTGGATGAGTAAGTGGGCTTGAGTGGGTGAGTAATCGATTAAGCCAGAGGCAACAATTGT